ACTAATATTGGCACGGGCTTGGAAATATGTTTCAAATCAGGCGAAAGTACTTTGGAATCACACGATTAGCCGACATTTATATTATAGAAAGGATTTCATGTGTTCTAAATAACAATCTCTCTAGACATCGCCAGAAGTTCTTTTACCATCCATGCGATTCGGGCAACTTTGTCTAGCGATCTTTTAAGCTCATGATACCCAACATCTGTTGACCATTATTAAGTCACTGGTATCGCGGTTGGTTAGTAAGTATCGTTACCCTTTGGTTAGTAATACATCATAAAACCCAAATACATTATATAATCAATGCTCAATAACATTCATAGGAATGCCCTTTTCCTTTGTATTCTATTTTGTAATTTGTTACTGTAGTATAGACCAGCTGTGTACCCGTTCTACGCACGGGGATCTTATAGTATTCAGTTGAAACCTTCTTGTATACAGTATTTAAAGAACAGCAATTGGTTTGCATATTTTCAGATATGCTGGCCAAACTATTATAGGCCTACATAACTTCATTTTATGTTGTTTGTTTTTGTTCCGGATCGGTATGACAATCAATAAATGGTTAAATTACCTGTGTCCGATCGTAATGTATCCTATTACAGGAGATGCATTTCGGCGAAATTAAATCGCCATCATCAGTCCTAATATAAGGTTGAGCTTCCCCATAAGGTGCGTCTTGGAGTTTTTGAAACACATACACGAACTGTACACACATATGACGAATAAAACATAAATACACGGTAGTCCTACTTTCATTTTTACTATGGACATCTAAACGCGCGTCGGTCGTGTGCCGAGTCTCGACTGAAAACGCTCATTTAAAAAATGTATGTTTCTCAGCCATAAACAACACTGATTCAAGGTCTTTTCCCCAGTTATCAAAACTCAAGAACAATTTTATACACAAAGAATCTATATTTTCATTTACGGCTACCCTACAAATTATTGTACTTGCGATTAATTAAATCCGTTATGTAAGGGAAAACGTTTTTAATCTTACTTGGTTTGGATTTGCTTTCAAAACGTGATCGGAATTGGTTACGGACTACGTCATGTGTAAACAACATTCAATGTAAACATATCAGTGACAGCTAGAAGAAATAATCTTGATTCGAACAGCTGTTCGTTATTTCATAGATGAATATGTGATAAACATTGGGAGAAAACTTTACAAAAAATCGCACAAAATTGGGTTTTTAAACGCCCGTCATTTTATTTACAAAGTATTGACGACATATTTTAATGGCTAAAGACAATCTCGCCCATCCAGTGAATACTTAAAAATGATTTGGAACTTGATAGGTATACTCTTGTTTTTCAGGAGAAGGCCGCGTAAAATGGCTCTTGGGCCGTGACAGACAGGAAGACAGGAAGACAGACAGACAGAAATTTCTGCCCGCGAAACTCCTACCGGAAACCGGCGAGAATAGAGGCCCGTGAGACAAGTGGGGCCCGAAAAATTGGAGTTCATTCTTATTGAAATGTAGTATCAATCATTCAATAATTGTATTGAACAAGTAATAACATTAATGTTAATAATAATATGTTGTCATCATTTAGTTTTGTTAAGCCTATTCAGTGATAACGAACTAAGGCATGGTGTAAGGAAAAAACATAGTTGTGCTATTCTCGTCATATGCTGGCGTCACCCAGATTGCAAACAACCGTTTCACCATTTTAAAAAAATCATAAAAACAATAACAATCAAATCAAAACAAATATCTATTTATGTAAAAGGCAAAGCCCTCATCGACTCACTCACTCATCACTAATTCTCTTACTTCCCATTTACCTAGGAGGCTGAAATTTGGTACACTGATTGTTTAGTTAGGAATTAAATAGGAAAACTAAGTTGTTTTTATTCTGATCGGACTCTCGGGCTCCCCCCCCAGTGGCTCTGCTCTGGAGTTTCCCATGTTAACCTAATGAGTACTCATATTTAAATGGAATTAATGAATCTTAACAGCTGTTTCAATTAAACAAGTTGGTTCTGTTCTATGATGTTCAATTGCATTAACGTTACAAGGATTACCAACAGGGTGCAGCACTATTATTTTTTTAACTTTATGACAACAGCTAATTTGCAACCAAAAGGTGAGTGAGCGTAGCGAACGAACTTCATCCTGGAGGCGAGTTAGCGTAGCGAACGAGCTAACCTGAAGGCAAGTGAGCGCAGCGAACGAGCTCCAACCTAATGGTGAGTGAGCGTAGCGAACGAACTTCAACCAGGACGTGATTGAGCCATGCGAACGAGCTCACTTATGAAGTTAAACGGGGCAAAGCCCGTGGGTACAGCTAGTATACTTGGCAATACAATCAGGTGATTCTTGTTTGCAATCTGGGTGACGTCAGCATATTACAGGAATAGCACACCTATGTTTGGGAGTTAAGTGTATAATGACCATGAACCCGACGATGGAGTTATCTCCGAAACGGCCGTAGTGCTAAATCAATAGAATTGGGAAGACTGTAGGCCTAAGTAGCCTTTATATGCAATAGGTTTTTTTAGCCTGTGATAAAAGTACGTCAATCTTCTAAATTTACCAACTTTGAGTGTATGAGTTAGCCTAATTATAACCATTGATAAAAACTAACCGAATAAATAATTGATAACATGTGTAGTATATTAAATATAACACCTCCTTTGAAATGAAACATTCTGATACGGATTAAAATATAAGGTGGAGTATTTTTATTTTATTTCAAAACTTTCTACAAATACTGATATTGATATAATGATGTAACTTTATCATATAAAACCATGACTGAAATACTTAACACACCCTTTTATGGAACATAACCCATAATATATCCACTACTACAGTGTATTTATGATGAATCTGTTTGGCCATTGTATTGTTCATAAAAAAATAACTCTTGGGGGGAGGGTGTTTGATTATGTTGTATTGGTGGTCTAAAAGTAACTCATGAGAGGGGGCCCAAAAGTTAAGTTTGCAGGGGGCCCCGAACAAATCTGTTACGCCACTATCCGGACTGGCCTCGGTCAGTTGTAGTTTTTCATGATAGTCATTTATTACAAAATTTGTTGAATGATCATTTTTAGGTAACAGCTAGGGGACTCAATCCCGGGATTCCTCTCAGCCGATCCCGGGAATAAATTATTTAATGTTTTTATCTTTTTAGCCATTTTAAATGAGCGAGAAGTCCCCTCATTATGTCCTTTAATGTTACAAACTGGCCTTAACAGTGTTACACTGCACAATTTTGACGGAACTTTCATCACCGTCAGACACCTGATGTTTTTGTCAAAAACATCGAATAAGTTCCTAAGTTTTCCAGAGTCGTTAATTTTAAGGGACTTAAATCCATCAAGGCTTTGTAATGCAAATTGATTATGAGTTGTTTGTTAGCAAATCTATCTTGAAGTAAAGAAATGGCAAGGTCATAATTGTCAGCAGTTAATTGTAGACCAGCAATGCATAGTTTGGCCTCTCCATGCAATTGAAGTTAAGATAATTGAACTTATCTACTTTATTTAAATATTGCTGATAGTGAATGGCAGAGTTGTACGAGTCCCAGAACTCTTACCATTTAAGAATGTTACCGTCAAACATGGGTAGGATTAGTTTAGGCAGTTGTACTAAACTGAGTAAGTTTTCCAACACTCGCTCAGACAAAAGACCATTTATTTATTGTCAAGATTGACAGCTTTTGTGTTAAAAGACTTCAATTCTTACCTTCAAGGTTGCTAAAACTTGCTCACTGTCAAGCACGATACCAAAAAGGTCCTTGGCGACGTCGGTACCCTCCACATTTGCCGACTGTTTCTGTGTCAATCTGTTCCATCAAGGCGAGCTGAATAGCCTTGCAGAGTTCCCAGCGTCGCTAGCAGCGCGTTCCTCAAAGTCAAGCAGTGTAGTCGCCTCTGTAAGGGTAGACTTCGCCATGAGAGTAGCGGCCTTCTTCCTCAGTCGAGTCATCATGTTCAAAGTACAGTTAAAGTTGTACAGTTGAAATACGTGTAATAAAGATCAGTTTCGGGTGGATCGTTGCAGCTCTGCTACCATATCGGAATAGTATGTTGGTAAAGTTTATGTTAGTTAGTTTAAGAAGTTTAAAAGTTTGATAAGACTGAAATGACAAATTTCCAGAATATTTTTACTGGTTCGCCTATTCACATGCTAATGTTGTAAATATATGTTTTGTATTTATGTCAGTTTGTTTAAATGTATGAAATTTGTGAATTTGAAAGTCTGACGCCATCAATCCCTTTTGGGTAATAGATGAAGATACAGTAATAAGGTAACCAATAAAACCATGGCTAGATGTCAGGGGTTTTATTGCATGTACCAACCCACCAGAATGTATACATTATGAATAATGCAGTTGATTTTCAAAACTGTGAACTAGTATACGTATAACACAGATAGCAAAACCAGATAGTCTAGATTAAGATATATAAATTGAGTTGTTTTGAAAAGCAGTGTATTTTTGTACTGGAAACCACTTCAAATAAAAGACGTTTCTATTCTAAATAAGGAGTTAGTAATGGGTAGCAGAACATAGTTGGATACTTTGTTTCTAAACCATTCCGATACCATACAAGAAGTTCAGCACTCTTAATACATTGTGGAGATACAGTTAACATTGTTGGCCTACAGTACTAAAACCACAAGTAGATTTTTCATCATGGCTCTATATGATTTTTCAACTATGAAGTTGAAATAACCAATGTCATAAAAAAAGTGTATATGCTATATACAGTACATACATAATAAACATGTTGCTAAAGCAATGCTGAAAATCGCTTAGAAATTAAAGGTGAGCAGAATCTTTAGAATCTGATCTTTTAAAAATATATAGGTATACATTTTTTTTATTAGTTACGATTTTTTAAATCCTAAGTTTAATTTTACCGGGCCACCTACGGTAATAGCTACTTCCCTATAGGGAAATTCACTAAAAGACTGTTATCCATAAAGATCCTATTTGCAGTTAAGTATATAGCAATGAGAAGAATAGAGCCAAGCAGGTTAGAAAACCAACAAGACAATTAAGATTTATTCATAAAACGAGCAATATTATGTTACAAGTATAGAACGCTTAGCTTTCATCTGTCTGTAGGCACTAATGGCATCAGCCTGAGCAGATTCAAGTCTTCTTCTATCGGACATTGACAAGTCCTTACGTTTCCCGGTCAGGTCCCTCCTCTCTCCATCCGTAAACATCTTTGATAGCAGAAGTCCAGGTTTGCTAGCAGGCTGAAACGTGATTTGAAATGTGAGAAATTTGTGATATATAATTTCACTTTGTAGGTACTAGCACAGAAAACGTACTACTATAACCCAGAATGCCAACCGCATGGTAAAAAGCATTAAGCGGTTTGAGAGAGCTTTGCCTGTCAATCGTAGGCAGCGCCACCAGCGTTGCCATGCGATAGCATAGCAACGCTGGTGGCGCTACCTACGGATTGACAGGCAAAGCTCTCTCAAACCGCTTAATGCTTTTTACCATGCGGTTGTCATTCTGGGTTATAGTAGTACGTTTTCTGTGGTACTAGGTATTTGTAGGTACTCTCTCAGGTCCGCCATTTGAGCCGAACAAACAACAAATTAAACAAATAATCTATTTTCAAAATAAAAACATTATAGTTCATCTTACGAGTACTTAAAGTCCATTTTTTATGCTTGTAGCTCTCCCTACAATGGTCCCTATAATTTATTTATTATATCAATTGATATTGATATATTTGGTAATTGATTGATATCGAAAATGGCTCAATTAGTAAGCCCTCAATGGTTCTAACTTCTTACTCTCAACAACAGTTGCGACGCTTCCAAAGGGCCAATTGGGTCGGGCCCACCTAAAATAAACAGTAAAGTATATTTTTAAATACTTTAATTAAATGAAATGAAAAATTCTTTATTTTACCAGGCAAAGTTAGGGCCACATGGCCCTCTCTTACACTTAACCTGACAAACTTAAATATAAATAAATAAAAATACAATGAAATTTCTTAATCTAATAGAAAATATATATATTTAACACATCAAGAACACATTAAACAAAAATTCAATTTAAAAAATAGTAATTATTATAAATAGAATATATACAAAAGAAAACACATTCACACTCTCACACGCACACACACCAGCGATCGCGCAAAGAAGCAGAAGCCCTAGGACACGCCAGCCGAGACCATTTGCTCAAAGTAGAGATTTTTTAGTGCCGCCACAAACTGGGAGCGTTTATCAAGGGATTTAATGTGTAGGGGTAGGCTGTTCCAAAGACGGCAAGTGGTAACGACAAAAGCCCTGTCATAAGCGGTGGTCACATGATGAGGTATACGCAATGTGATCGAAGAAGAACGAGAAATTCGTGAACTACCTTGAGACACAAATTTAAAATCTGATGTAAAATATTTCGGAGAGCCTGATTTCAAAATTAAAAAGACCAATGACAAAATTTTGATGGATCTTTGATAATTTAATTTCAAGATGTTTGCCTCAAGGTAGTATGGCGTGATATGCTCCTCACGTTGCAGACCATAGACAAATCTCAAAGCGTAATTCTGAGACCGCTGGAGCATACCCGCCTGAATCACAGTTACATGCATACTAATCAATGTACCTTATAAAGGATGATGTGATCTAGTTTAAAAGGAATACTGTATGACCTTTCTGTCATGACAGTAGCTGCTTAAATAGTTACTCATTGGGCCATTTTTACAGCCAAAATGTTGTGTTATTATTTTCAATAATGTTAACAAACCCAGTGGGCCACGGTCCGTAATATAGGCCACTGCAAATAATTTGTCAAGATAGGTACCATTTTAGGCAAGGTTTCTGTGTTTGGATGTTATTAGACGGTAAGAGCACAATAAAATTCTTCTGCAGATGAATTTTCTGTTGGAGAAATATAAGCCAAATTATAAATGTCACAATGCGAGTTTGTAACAATATTATATGGGTAAGTTACATAGATTTTTTAGGCTGCAGCTCAGTGCACTTTAAGAATATATATTTTATAGATAAATTAAATGCTTTTTGTTGCTGAGTATCGCTAGTAAACATGCACAACCCTTTTCGTTAGTCTAATAACATTCAAAGGCTCTCTAAAAGTTAAAGTTCTTTTTTGTATACATATCTATATTATGTTCTTACTAAGCTGAATGAATACATCGAAGTGACCTCTCTGAAAAGTCTGCAGTTTTACAGCTTAATGACTTTCTAAATCATGCACATATTTCTACATGAATATTGAAAATGTTTTATCCAGTTGCTGTAATTTGTAAACCACTATTATTTTAACAAAATATGGACACGGCTCAAATGGGCACCGTGCCCTTCTGCACTGGTATTATTTTGTATTGTATTACACAATCGAAGATTTTTCCAATGATTGAAAGCACGAATGACAATAATCTCATGAACCTATGATGATCTGTCTAGAATATGATAAAATATAGGGAAAAGGTGTGAAAAAGGCAGACACCAACCCGTAAAATAAATACTAGGTGGCGTTCGCAGAGGCATCCACAAAATTGAGCGGAGTCATCAAGCCTTCATATTATATTGTTTTTGTCGTACTGCAGTAAAAACAGTAGTTTTTAATGAATGCGTTGCGGGTCCAAAGAAGCATTTTTACTCTTTAGGGAGTAAAAATCTTTTTTAGCCTCTATGGAGTAAAAATCAGCTGTTGTCAACTCAGTTGTAAATTTCTATTGTAAACGATTGAATGTATCGAAGTATGTGTCGATGCTTGCTTCGTAATCATTTTAACCTAAAGTCTACAGTCTCTTCCTATAGCATTTTAGCATTGCAGATACAGTAATCCATTCCCACACTCAACACTGCTCACCTTTTCTACTTCCTTCACCACCCCCTACGTCGTGGGCCTGTTTCCCTCTCTTCCCATAGCATTTTAGGATTGCAAATACATTAATGTAATTGCCAAAGACAGTTCCCACACTCTGCACTGCTAGCCTTACTACTTCCTTCACCATTTCCTACGTCATAGAACTGTTTCCTTTCCTTCTCATAGCATTTTAAGATTGAAGATACATTAATCTAACTGCCACAGACGGTTCTCACACTATGCTCATACTTTACTGCTTCCTAATTCACTTCCTACATCGTATAACTGTTTTCATCACTTTCCATAGCATTTTAGTATTTTAGATATGTTAATCAAATTACAGTACCACAAACATTCCCCACACTCAGCACTGCTAGCCTACTACTTCCTTCACCTCTTCTTACGTCGCGGACCTGTTTCCTTCCCTTCCAATAGCATTTTAGGATTGCAGATACCTTAATATAATCGTCATAAACAGTTCCCACACTCCAGACTGCTCGCCTTTACTACTCCCTTCACCACTTCCTACGTCACGGACCTGTTTACCTCCCTTCCCATAGCATTTCAGGATTGCATATACCTTAATCCATCGTCATACAAAGTTCTCACACTCTGGACTGCTTGCCTTTACTACTTCCTTCACCACTACCTACGTCACAAACCTGTTTCCCTCCCTTTCCATAGCATTTTAGAATTGTAGATTTCTTAATCTAATCGTCATAAACAGTTCCCACACTCCGGACAGCTCGCCTTTACTACTTTTAATTCCTTCACCACTTCCTACGTCGCGGACCTGTTTCCTTCCCTTCCAATAGCATTTTAGGATTGCAGATACCTTAATCTAATCGTCATAAACAGTTCCCACACTCCAGACTGCTTGACTTTACTACTTCCTTCACCCCTTCCTACCTCGTGGACCCGTTTTCCTCCCTTCCCATATAATTTTAGGAATGCAGATACCTAAATCTAATCGTCGTAAACAGTTTCCACACTCCGGACAGCTCGCCTTGACTACTTCCTTCACCACTTCCTACATCGCGGACCTGTTTTACTTCCCTTCCAATAGCATTTAAGGATTGCAGATAACTTAATCTAATCGTCATAAACAGTTCCCACACTTCCGGACAGCTCGCCTTGACTACTTCCTTCACCACTTCCTACGTCACGGGCCTGTTTCCCTCCCTTCCCATAGCATCATAGTATTGCAAATACCTTAATACAAAGGTTATAAACAGATCCCATACCCCGAACAGCTCGCCTTGACTACTCCCTTCACCACTTCCTACATCGCGGACCTGTTTTCCTCCCTTCCCATATAATTTTAGGAATGGAGATACCTTAATCTAATCGTCATAAACAGTACCCACACTCTGAACAGCTCACCTTGACTACTTCCTTCACCACTTCCTACGTCGCGGACCCGTTTTCCTCCCTTCCCATAGAATTTTAGGAATGCTGATACCTAAATCTAATCGTCATAAATAGTTTCCACACCACACTGCTCACCTTTACTACTTCCTACACCACTTCCTATGTCACGGACCTCAAGCTAGTGTCGTCATTTGATTATATTTATGATCCATACTGTTTTTGTTCTAATATCTGTGAATTAATGCCATCAGCTATTTCTTTATCTACTGCATTCAAAAGTCAACAGCTGATCATATGTTTTTGTTTATGTGTCAAATACTGCTTCCATAAGGATTACATTGAAACTTTGAGACCCAGTGGGGCGGATTCCTGAGAGACTTTTTTAACGCCATATAGATGTTGGCACTCACCGATATGGTCTTTATCACTATGCAAAATTTGAAAACGATTGATTCAGCCGTCTAGGAGGAGTTTGCGTATTACGAAATGCATAAGAGTCGATGTATAAGAGCTTCTCTCGCTTCGCTCAATAAGATAGTTCAATAAGAAATAATTGTAAGAGTTATTGTGATAAAAGAATTTTTCACTGATTTCGTTATGGAACTTTATATTGCAACACATGACATGATACAGAAGAAAATCAATTTTAAAATTAGAAAATAACATTTCAAATACTTCTTTTGGACAATTCAGTAACTCCCAATAAATGAGTGTTGTTTAGAATACAATTTTAAAATTAACAGCTGTTTTATTAAAAAGTATTATATAAATGACTAAAATGTAAACAAATCTGTGGGAGGGATCTTTAAAGGCTTCTGGGGCAGAGCCCTAAGCGAATTTACTTCGTTTTTCTTTTGATAACTCATCTACAGACCAAGACCTTTCTTTGGACACCTCTACCAATTTCTATGCCCAGCCGTTCTCTCAAATTAGTGGAGACAAAGTTTCCAATTAAATATTTGAATTCCCCCATGTTAATCTTATGGGAGAAAACCCAACTTTGATGGATGATCCTGGCCAAACTAATAAAGATATAAAAAAACGAAAAACACTTTGCAAAACTACAGATCAGGGCAATTGTTTTGACACTTTAATCATCAAAATCGGTCCAAAAATGAGGGAGGAGTTCTGTTTACAAAAATCGGCTTAGCGTATTATATATATAGATTTTAATTTAGGTGTTCACGTAATAGGGCTGCTGATATATTAAATTATTGTAGTAAATAATAATAAAGTACAACTGAGCACGCTGAATATATACAGGATTAGTAAAAAGTGTGGAAACCACCTGTTATTTTTTTAACGGCCCTACACACTACCTGTATCACGGTGTTACTACCTGTATACTAGAAAAACTAAACCTGGCACACCTTTATGGCATGTTATGAAGTACTTTTTGGGCATAACCGCCACTTGGTGTACATCCCCAAAATGGGGGATTTTGGGGGGAACTCAAAAATTTCAAATGGAAAGACCCATCGAGTGACCCCTCATTTTGAAGGTCCTGGTAAAAGAAAACCAACGCAAACTAGAGGTCTTAACACAGTAAAATATGGCAGCCAATCTACTCCCATGGCCATTTGTACCCCAAGAGGTACTTGGCCTTGATTGGAATAAATCATAATATTTCAAAATCTGATGATTCATTTTTTCAAACTTAATTAGACATTGGCAAAATTACTTACCTATTTCTAAAAAAAAAAAAATGTTCTAATTTGTTTTAAGATTCTTGAAAAAAACCAAAGAGCAACTAAAAAACCATACTTACTCTCCTTGCAATGCCTTCGTCGCTGGTGATGATGGCTTTCCGAGGCAGAGCTGTCAGCTGTGGTGGTCTATGGACAACCTCGTTAAATTCTATTTTGTCTCGGAGTTGATGGAAATCGTCCTTTCCATCATCAACTCCTTCCCCTTTCAATTCTCTGAGGTGTTCCTTCTTTGCTTGATGTCTTAAACGACGTCGTCCTGTTTTGCTTAGTAATTCCTCTGCAGAAGTTTTACCAAGTTAGAGCTTATTTTTAAAGAATTAAATGAGGCATAGAGAATTGAAAATAATCATACAAAGTAGACCCTTCTTTAACTGAACCTGGATTGACTGTCGCTTGGATCAACCGTTTGAGCTCTGACAAAAAAAGAAGTCGGTTTATCTATCCTGAATTTTAAAACTGCTCAGTTTGACCAACCTTTTCTAGGAGTTAAGACACTTCTCTTACCATCATTATTGCAGTCATTAAAAGAATTGTGTTCATTTTTTATAAGTAGTAAAATTATTTATGATTATTATTATTATTATTATAAATAATAATAATTGAATTATACTATGTACCTGTAAAAATTATTATAATAAGGTAATGGATATGAGTTTTCCTCTCAAATAGCTTGCAGCTAGTGTTATATATACACGCCTTCCTGATAAGGTTGTTGGTGATTTGTATTTGTAAGGTTGGCTACACAGCCTGTGTTATATACTAGGCTTCTGACTTCTGGATAACCTCAATGACTGTTGTAAAAATGTGACTCTCAATCTAGTAATGTCCAAATGGTTTGATGTTAATAAAACTAAACTTTAAATGTTCAACTGTGTTTTTGATTTAAGAAATCCTGAAAACATAACATGGCGCTGCGGACCTTCAGAAAAAGGACAAAGCCATTGGACAAAGTGAGTGTAGTGGTTAGGAGTTCAAGTTCTTATTTGTATACATATCTATATTATGGGGTCCGCGGAATTGGCTAACTCTGGAACTCGCTAACCCCATGTTAAACGCCCTATCTTCAAATTTGGTTGATGAGAGGAACTCACTAACTTGTTCGGTTTCGGAATTGGCTAACTCCGGAACCCGCTAACCCGATCTAGAGCCGGTCCCTCGGCGGAACTCGCTAACTCCCAATCAGAAGCCTCGCGGGCCGTCCAATGGGAGCCAAGCACGAAGATTTTTAGCCAGTGATGCCAAAAGTGTAGTACCTATATCGGCACCATAATGTCGTATCCTACGAATAATTAGGATTAAGATCAACGTAGTCGACTAAATAAATATATATTCAGAAGTATGTTTAATATTATTCTTATGATTATTAGGGTAGAAAATGCATTATAGTCTTATCACAGACTAACCAACACAAGTAAATTTTGCATCCCATTGTAAACTTTGAAGCTCGTTGTTCGTGTCTAGTTCATGTCCGGTGACACTGATCGCCAATGTCGACGTAATTGTGTTTCTATTATTTTATTGTTAACTTTATGATTTGTTCTTTACTGTTTGGTTATACAACTAGGGGACGTGTTATTAGTTATGATTAGAAGGTTTTCTTTGGTTAAACGAGGTTTTAAATGACTGAAAACAAGAAACAATTGTAAACAAAACACGACCTCTAATGACAGTGCACCGGACAGATCTAACAATAAAACTGTCTTCAGCTGATCCATAAGGATGAGAAATGTACTAATATAAGGGGGTATGTGATTTTCTTACTTAAATAGTAGCTTATTGGGATGCAAAAAGATAATACTGTACATTTAATTTGGATCTTTTACATGTTATGAAATATCTATTTTCGTAGTCCACCATTTGTTTCTTTTATTCAAATAAAAACCATTATGTGAACTTCTTCAAATAAAATTTTCAAGTTCGTATTTTATATACTGGGCTTGTAACCTTGAATCGTAAAATTGAACCATAATTCATGATAAAATTTGCACGTTAAACGTCATTATAGAAATACATTGTACCGGTAGTGGTAATGTATTTTTTTTTTAAATAGAGCTATTGAATTTTAATAAATATTGATCAATACATTATAAAGTGGGAAGCCTAATGTATTCATGGATTGCATTACAAATTTGTCTATGCATAAATACAACTTGTAAATTTCTGTTATCATAGGCTATTAGTTAGAACTCGGGTCATCCTCTTAATTTTTTTTTTATTAATATTAATTTTACGTCTTTCAGTAGGCCTTCTTTATAAAAGTCTGGAGTTTTTATGGTTCTAAATGAACCCAGTCGTTCTTGTTTGTTATCATTTATATGAATGGTGGCCATAGCTAAAATTACCTGATCTTATCCAAAAACAAAGCTATTGTCTATTGAGTAGCTCAGTACCGGGGTTCCAACGGGGAATTGAGCAATGGCTTGGTATAGTTTATTTCGATTGTAAAAGCAATATAAAGGAAACCCAACACTCAAATCAGGAAATTCCGCCAAGTCGTTGATTAAGAATCGTGAATTAAAATAAACCTGTCACGTTTTATTATATGAATATTATATCCTCTCCTATTATTTACTAGTGATGCTTAGGTGTACAATTTACAAACTGTTTTAAAACATGTAACAATATTACTAAAAAATTCAACACATTTTAGAATTAGGCAACTATTTACTAGTAGGCCTACTATGCTTTGGTTTAAACTATTAGAATAGATTTAGGCCTCTACAGCTATTCTATAAATTGATATGAAACTTAGTCTATGTCATATTTGTACACGTTGGACGATTCATAGATTAATTTTAAATCTATGAATTAGTTATGAAAGTTACTGTTGAGGATTTTATATAGTATTGCTTTGCTTAATGCTATATAATCAAATATCTTTTTAATGTATCTTTTTATATCAGCTGCTTGTGATTATTTTGTTGTTCTAATATGTTCACAGTTTGAAGTGTTAATGTTTTAATATCTTTCCTTTTTACATCAATTATTAATAAAGTATTTTATGTATTTTATTCCCTCATTTCATCAGGTTATGGGCCCAGAAGACGTTTTTGATATAATTCATTTTGAATATGTATAAAACTACATTAAAATGAAGAATTCTGGACTGATTGTGTTTGGTAAGATTTCTAGGCTTATGAAAAATATTTTGTTACCCAATTTCTTGAAATGAATTTTTATGTTGTTTGACCTAAAATGGAAACTACACAAGAAAACAATAATACAACTCATACTATTACACCTACCTCAAGTAATACAGGATTGTCTAGTATGACAAATATTATAATGGGAGGAAATAGTAATGTTGAACGTCTAGAGGGTGTTTCAAATTATAACAATTGGAAGTTTTCAATGAAAATGGCATTAATAATTGATGGACTTTGGGATTGTGTATCTGATGATACTGAAATTAAAGATAAAAACAGAGATCAAAAGGCTCTTGCAAAAATTTGTTTAAATGTTTTGCCTACTTGTTATCCTTATGTTAGGAATGCTAACACTGCTAAAGAAGCTTGGGATAATCTCCAAAATGCTTTTGAAAACAAAAGTTTGGTTAGAAGACTTAGTCTTTTAAGACGTTTACTTAGAACGAAATTGGAAGATTTTAGCACAATGGCTATGTAAATGGAACTTTGTCCTTAGTTCAACAGTTAGCAGACATAAATCACATTGTTGATGATGAAGAAGTTGCAATGTTACTTCTGGGTGGTTTACCTTCAGAATATGAACCGCTTATTATGGGTATTGAAGTTACTCAAACAACTGTCTCAAGTGAGTTTGTTAAGAATCGTCTCTTACAAGAGGATTTTAGGAATTCTGAAAATACTTCAACTGGAAGTGAATCAGCTTTGGCAACTAAACATTCTTATGCCAAGAAAATTGAGAAGTTGAAAGATTCAAAAGGTAAGTTTAGACCACAGAAGAAAATTATTTGTCATAATTGTAACCAACCTGGACATATTAAGCCTAACTGTCATAATCTTGGCAATAATTCTCAGCACAGATCTAAGGCAAATTATGTTGGGAAACACAAAGAAAATGACAATCTGTTGCTTACAACTGTTTTCCATACTGAAAATATAAAATCTTATGAATCCAAAGTTGGTCATAATGATTGGGTCATTGATTCAGGTTGTACAACTCATATGAGTAATCAAATGGTGAAAAATGGTAAGTTTGAAAAGAAGGAAGTTTTGGTGGCCAATAATGCAAAACTTACAATGGTGATATTGAACTTTATATAGAAAATTCTAATAAAGTTACTGTTAAGGATGTTTTATACATACCAGAACTTACTACTAATTTGTTGTCTGTAAATAAAATTACAGAAAAAGGAAAAATAGTAGTTTTTGACAAAGATTCGTGCAGAATTTATTCAGAAAATGACTGTCGAATAGAGGGAAATAGTGACATTTCTGCTGTGAATGACGGTGGTGTATATAAACTAAATTTAATTGAGCCAACAGAGTTGAATGGTCACTCTAAATTCAAAGAATATAATTCATCAGCTGCTCTTACAGTTGCAACCAAAGGTACGTGGCACCGTAGATTAGGTCATCTAAGTCATAAAGGAATGGATTTACTAAGAAATGGTTTAGTTAATGGAGTAAATTATTCAAAATCAGAAAAGGAGAATACTTGTACCACATGTATTGAAGGTAAGATAACAAGAAAATCTTTTCCTAAAGGTCAAAGTATCAGAGCTACTTCATTACTTGAGCTAATTCATTCAGACTTATGTGGACCAATGTCAGTTAAAAGTTGGGGTGGATCTCTTTATCTTTTAACATTCACCGATGATCTCTCAAGAAAAACTTTTGGTTATTTACTTAAACACAAAAATGAGGTTTTAAGTAAGTTCAAAGACTTCAAAATGGAAGTAGAAAATCAAACTGGCTTTAAAATTAAGCGCTTGAGAACTGATAATGGCAAGGGTGAGTATGTTAACAAACAATTTGCAGATTTTCTACGTTTAAATGGCATTGTTCGTGAGACCACTATACCCCACACTCCAGAGCAAAATGGTGTAAGTGAACATGTTAACCGAACACTAGTTGAAAAGACAAGATGTTTACTTCAAGATTCAGGTTTAGGAAAACGATATTGGGGAGAAGCTATAAACACAGCTATCTATTTGAAGAATCGTAGTCCTACAGCAGCTTTAAAGAATGCAACACCAGAGGAAGTTTGGACTGGTTCAAAGGTTGATCTAAGTCACTTACGGGTTTTTGGCTGTAAAGCTTATGTTCATATTCCCAAATGTTACGGAAAGAAACT